ATCCCGGAAATGTCCGCAGATTCCGATGTCAGCCGAAACTCCGATTGATCGGAATAGTCAGTCACATGCGATGTCGCGATAAGGCGTCATTGTGTCGTGATAGGTCGAAAACGCTCTAGACCTCTCGTGACTAAGGCTAAAAACAGTAATAAGGCTCACACCGAAGAGATGCGACTGCTACGGCATGTTGCAAATGGGTTTAAAGTCCTTAAAATAGAATGCTGGCCGTTTTCGTGGCCTTGTACATAATTCCTATTATTCAATTTCCATATATAGCATGTACTAAAATGGACTGTAAAGTAGTATAAAAGCAGAGTAGTTTTAACACGTTCTGGACTGCATTTCCCTCATAGTTATTATTGCCGTGACTATTTTTGGTCACAGTAGTGATTTCTCACGAGTTTAGTGCACGTCTGGAGTTCTATTTATACACGGAGATTTGTTTATACATTTCGAAGTTTGTACTTAGCCCCAACTCAGTTAGATAGTCAATACACGTTGTGATTGATAACCCAAAGTCATAAGCTTAAGTGCTGAACCAGAAAGTCTCTCGTGAGAAGCATCTCGCGATAAGTTGTAATCCAGTTTGAAGTCGCGACAAAGTGTCAAAGCTTTAAATCAAAGGTACTACTAAGATTGTAGTCACTGTTGGAATCGTTCCAGTGAGTTCAGTCGCAGTCCCACGTCTAAAGGTACTATTGGAATCAGTCCAGTGAGGCTGATCGTAGTCACTGTTGGAATCGTTCCCGTGAGTTCGGTCGCAGTCCCACATTACAAGAGAGTCCCGTGAGACCTCTAAGTTCAAGTCCAGTGTGGCTTCAAGTTGTCAGAATTAGCTTACGTGCGTTCATGACTGAGTTTCGTTTCATTTCAAAACCCCCGCGATTAGTGTTTCTCTCACGAGAAGCTTTAGTTGTACTCATGAGTTCTACTCGCAATAGTCTTGAGATACAGTTTGATTTATCTTCTTTCATTTGCACAATTGTCAACGGTGTATCTGCAGTCAATTCTGATTGACAGGACCCAAGTACATTAAATATTGAAGAGCACTTTGTGTAGTTGTTTGTTGGTTGTGTGTTGGTTGTGGTTCGATTTGTGTGTCTCGTACACATCTATTGGATTGTGATTTTCACGACTATACTCAGGTGCACCATCCCACCGTGTCCAAACTTGCAATCATATTTTGTTGAAGAGCAGGGTCAATCTGCCATATTATACCTTCTGAGTCACCGAATTCGGCAGGGCCCTGTGCTCCTGTTCTTGGTGAACTTCCAACATCCTGAATTGCATTGCCCAAATCAACTGCTTGGAATGTAAGAAATCACATCTGACGGCAACGAAATAAGATACAGACTTTTGCTACAATCCATTCATTCCTCATATCTACCACGGATTGCATCCCGAACTCCGTTGTGCGTTGGACAGCAGGTTCGGCGCATGTCTCATCCATAGCTCGAACATCATTTGATCTGCTCATGCGGAATGAATACGTGCATAAAAGCAGCTGAGATCTCCAGTGTTAAATAGAACTATGGAAAGGATCAGGGGAAGACGCAATGCATGCCATGTCTTCAGCTCAAAAGGTGTAACACTTTGAGTAGACGACATGAATGTTTATGAAAAGCAGCGACAATGGCTCGGCGCGTGTCCCTTGAATGAGTTCGAAAACCGAATGTCCTCATGGCCGATAAACATTTTGAATAGGTGCATTTGAACACCCGTAGAATGATGGATATTTATTTCACTCGCCTGGGAATTCTCTTTTTACCCTCTGGTCCCGCTGTCCTCGCAAATTAGCTGATCCCACTGTGAGATGAACCACACAAGTGGATCGGTGGACATGTATCACAGAGGTGCGTGTGCTGTATAAAGACTGCCTGGAATCCTACCAATCCGTCCGTCACTGGCACATACTCTACTAACTACACGCCCTCCAATGCGATTCAAGTCACCCATGGCGAGTATTGCACTTGACTTCCATACCTACGGACAAATTTGGGAACTCGGTTCCCTCTAGCGTGCGAGTCTGGTCGTTCTCGCATCTATAGGTTTCAGTGTCTGTCAGATTACCACCACCTGCATTAGATTTGGTACCACGGGAGACTGCAGCAGCGTCATCTCGACATTTTGCTCCTCTCTTGCGGTTGATATCGTTGGCTACAAATTTTCTATTACCAATCATGTTCCATTCAACGTCGCATTACAGATAGCGCCGAGTGATACGCTCACCCACTGTTACAATCTGCATGATGGTCTCCGCTGTGAGTAGTGATTCTGCAGCATGAAATTTGACCGAAATCACCTGGTGCAGGTGACTTTGGGATGGTCGACATGGGGAATGCCACTGATGCTCCTAGTGTCGTTAACTGCCGGCTCATTTTGAACCAAGTTTCAGCCGAGTGCCCAGCGGTAAGCATACCACCTACTACAAATCCGTTCCCCCGCATAATATCCTGACAACCCCAGGGAGGGCTTGGAAATGTGGTTGGGTTGCCATTCAAATTTCAAGTGGATCCGAATGAAAGCGCCTGTGTTGTCATACCGCCGGGCGATTAGCTTTGTGCCTACCGTTCCATGGAAAATTCTTCACTGTTCACCTTGAAATTGTGGAGGGTCATATGCAGTCGCTCACCTATGAACAATGTACCATGGGAAAGGCAGAATTTGAACCTTGTTGATGGTCTAGATAGAATGAAGAAGAAGGACTCGCAATGTCGCCGGACAAGAAATGTCTAACAATTAGGTTTCCGATGTTCTGAGATTCCATGAAGTTTGCTTGATTTGCTGCGTTGGGTTTGAGATGATCCGCCCGGATTCGTGGATTTTCAGGTTTCTTTTTCTAAACGCTGAACCCACCTGGTGCTTGAATCTTATTCGCACCCAGCCAAGTTCAAAGGATAATATGAAACTCAGGTATGGTGCACGGCGCACGGCTCCTCGCAATTCAGGGACGCTAGGTCTGTCGCAGGAGCAGACCGGGGTTCGACTCCCCGTACCCGAATGACAGCTTTTCCTCGCCTTTTTGGAACTTGCTTGTATTTCATGTACAGTTGGAGCATAGTCTACTACTAATAATATCACCCAAGGGATGGTACGACTCGGCTCGTGTCAGTAAGATGTTCTTAATCCTATGGATGGAGCAGACCGGGGCTCGACTCCCGTGCCCGAGTTCGAATGGTCAATGGGAGTTCTTTTTTTAAAATGCCCTGGGCCGGTTCACGTCGTTGAACTTAAAATATATCCACACCTACCTGGGTGCATTGAAGAGTAACAAAGTCGGGCATGGCGCACGGTGCACCGCTCCTCCCAGTTCCTCCCACACCTTGCGGATCGCAGGAGCATCCCGGGGTTCGACTCCCTGTACCCGAATTTCCGCCCGCAATTGTCTTTTTTTCGTTGCCCATTCATTCTTCTGTCCGTATCTCTCACACCGGATATCCCGGTGCAGTGCAGGCATATCGGCTGGGTGCGTAGAACAAGCGCATCTCGAATAGCTCGACAATATGGATTCCCATCCACATCGACGCCCTGTTGTTCAGAATTGAAGTTATCCGCACCCACCCAAGTTTAAAGGATGGGTAGAAAACTCGGGTATGGTGCACGACGCACCTCACAATGACATGCACACCTAAGGTTACCAAAATAAGGGTCGACCCAAGTTGATCTCGAACAGTAAAAAATAGAATTAAACTAAAGGTGCATTGAAATTGGAACTTATTGTCATAGTTTCAGTTCCAATTTTGGTGCGATCAAAATGAGCTGGAATAAAATTAAGTTTCAGTCGCACTGGAATTAGAGCCGAAATTTTGAGAATAGGTTCCGATTTCAATGCACCTATAGTTTAATTCCATTTTTTACTGTTCGAGATCAATTTAAGCTGAGCTTTATTTTGGTAATCTTAGGTGTGTGGCCAGTGGGTGGCGCAAAATGTCGGCCCTGTCAACCTGAACCTAAGATTACCAAAATAAGGCTCAACCTAAGTTGATCTCGAACAGCAAAAAGGGGAATTAAACTAGAGGTGCATTGAAATCGGAACCCATTCTCATAGTTTCAGTTCCAATTTTGGTGTGACCGAAAGGAGCTGGAATAAAATTAAGTTTCGGCCGCACCGAAATTGGAACTGCAACTATGAGAATAGGTTCCAATTTTAGTGCACCTTTAGTTTAATTCCATTTTTTACTGTTCGAGATCAACTTAGGTTGATCCTTATTTTGGTAATCTTAAGTGTGATGTGGGAGAAGAATCTGTACAGGAGCAGACCGGACCCGAATACCCCATCGGGCTCGTCGTTTTTTCTCCTCTTCTTCTTCTTCTATTTGCTCACTCATTCTTCTGTCCGTCTCTCTCACACTGGATATCCCGGTGCCGACATATCGGCTGGATGCGCAGACCAGCGCACCTCGAATAGCTCGACAATATGGATTCCCGTCCACGTCGAAGCCCCACTGCTTTAACTTCAATTTTTTTCACACCCGCCCAGGTTCAAAGGATGGGTACAACTCGGGTATGGTGCATGGCGTATCGCTCCTTGCAGTTCCACAGCGGCAGTGTCGCAGGAGCAGACCGGGGTTCGACTCCCCGTGCCCGAATACCCTATCGGACTCGTCGTTATTTCTCTTTCTCCTTCTTCTTTCGCCCACTCATCCTTTTTTCTCCCTCACGCTATATATATATCCAGCTAAGTTGGCTGCATCGGGCGAGAGGCGGACATCCGCATCATATACCGAACTCGGATGCCTGGACAATGTCCTCTGGTCAATGAGTAGACCGGGGTTCGACTCCCCGTGCCCGAATTGTATAGGATCCGTGTTCTCTTTTTATTTTACCCCGCGCCACCTCCTCTTCGATAATTCACCTTTTCGACCGCGGTGCGTATACACTATCAATTTTATTAATTGTATTTTATTTTATCCGGAACGTGGATTGACACTCTCGTCGCACACAATACCAGTACAAAATTTACTCACCCACCTAGCCAGATTCAAACGAACAGAAATATGTTGGGTATGGTGTACGGTACACCGCTCCTTTCAATAATATGGATCAGTCTCCGATGCATGGAGCGAGCCGGGGTTCGACTCCCCGTGCTCGAATGTTACGTCGGCGGTTTAAAACACTTCTTTTTCGTCTAGTTAATGTCATGCATCTGATTTGTATTGCTCAGGTCTAGCCAAGTCTAGTGTATGGCCAGGAGCTCGGGTATAATGTACGGCGCACTGCTCCTCAAATTTAGCGCAGTTCTTCAGGTGAATGCTAGGAATTGACCGGGGTTCGACTCCCCGTGCCCGAATATGTGGAGATGATGAACCCCCTTTCTTTTGCTTGGCTCTGCCTCACCTCTTTCCTGATTTTTCAACCGTTCTTCGATGCGCTATCTTCCTCGTTCAATGGCGGTACGTACCTCGTCAATTTTATTATAGCGTATTGACTGACTCTTTGTGGAAACCCTCGAGATGAGTATCGAATTTACGGGCGTACCTACTCAGGTTGAAATGAGGGGAAGTGCATCAGGTATGGTTCACGGCGCACCCCTCCTCCCGTTTGTGCAATTGTCCATCTGGCCATCTCATGCACCCAGCCGGGGTTCGACTCCCCGTGCCCGAATAAGTACGAGCTGTCGTTTTTTTTTCTTTTTCACTCTGCACCACCTTCTGGATTTTCGACTCGACGGCCCTTTGATACTTCACTTTTTCGACCGTGGTACATATGGACATTTCTTTAATAATGAGGAGTGGGCTATATGATGCGAGACGCCGAGAAGGGAGGCGCATCCGGATGGGAATAAAAAGTGACGCGGAGGATGGCGTGCGGAAAGCGGAGGGACAGGCGAAAAGAAAATTGGGCTGGGGATGGAGGGACGGCGTATGTGCGAGAGGGCAGAGGAGGCGTATCGAGGAAATGGAGATAGATGCGAAGAGGACGAGAAAGAGCTTACCATGCACCATATTACCAGCTGCCAGCGGCCCCTCCATCTTCGCCAGCCACTCCACCAGCACTTTTCACACACGGCCGCATGATGAGTCGGGAATCGCGCACCGGGCACGCGGTCCGAGGCGTACGCGAGGTTCGGCGGTGCGCGACGTACGCGAGGCTCGGGCAGTGCGCCGTCGGCGGCAGGCGCAGCACGCCCCACCGACGGCAGGCGCAGCACATCCCGCCGGGCGCACGGTGCCGGTTTTCAAGGTCCACAGGCGCGTACAGTGTGAGGTGCGCGAGGGCGCGTAGACGGTGGGGTGCGCGAGGGCGCGTAAACGGTGGGGTGCGAGAGTCGGGTGCTGCACGGGTGTGCTAGGCGGAATCGATGGGAGGAGAAATGAGACAGATGAGAGAGGAATGAAGGAATAAGGGAAGAGTTGAAGCACGCCAGGTACTAGTGGCGCCTAACCTGCGAGCCCACACCCGATTGCGGCTCCCAAGAGAAGAGCAAACGAACGAGGAAGCGCGCAACCAATAACAAATGGGAGACGAAGCGAGGGATACTTTCAGGGGAGCGATCATTGGGAAGAAAGAAAAGCGGCAGAGAACTGAACGACGGGGAGAAAGCATGAGGGATTAAAGGAAACACTGGGAAAACGAAGAGGTAAAGCAAGAATAGGAGGAAGCGATGCAAGAAGACAAAGCACGGACACCAAAAAGCAGAACAAACGCGTTGCGGAGCGAGGATGGACGATCGACTCACAAGATGCGGATGTCGCAGCACAAAGGCCGCAATTTGAAGGCGAAATACGCCACCCCTGCTTCGCGAGGAGGCAGGAGGAGGTGTCGCCACGGTTGAGCCTATTTTCGATGATAAGCCGTGAGCTGGCTGTGTGGACACGAAACGTAGGGAGGGGAACACAAGGGGAGCAGGGGTTGAAAGGAGAGAAAGGGCGGGGACGGGGTGGGAGCAGTGAGATGACGACAGGGAAGAGAGCAATGAGGACGGAATGGGTAAAGGCGCAGGGGCAGACAAAAATGAGATGGAGGGGAGGGCATATATATCGAGAGGCCGGTGCGTGAGGGCGTCGTAGTTAGGACAAGTGGTGTATCAGGAAATGGCTATAGAAAGAGGGAGGAAACGGGAAGAGCTCACCGTGGCGGCGGGGTCGGGCGATAATGTGGACGGATGGTTGGGTGTATTGAGCGAAACGAAGAGGGCACGCACCCGTCAGCACCCGTAACACCTTTCCGTCCTCACGTTTGAGGAGCGCGTGAGTAACGTTGCCAAACTGACTGCCAGTGTACTGCGCGAGGCGGTCTTGTGTGAGGCGCTTGATCCACTCGATAAGGAGGGGTTGAGCTGGAGTATGCGGGGGTGCTCGACGCCGTGGACGAGGTGTGGGAGGAGAGGGTTGGGTTGGGGTTAGAGGCAGACGTCGGGCGGTAAACGCCGCGGGAGTGGATCTGAGCAGAGGGTTATGCTCGTCGTCGACAACGATGGGAGAGAAGCGAGCCCTTAGCCGATCAACACAACAAGCGCCGTCAAATTACCTTTTGGAGTTGCATGTGCGCTGCATTTGTGGCGCACGTTGTTACCAGGTCCCCGCGGTTCATTCCTTCGTTCATTCCAGCTGTCTCGTTGATGCCCGTCACTGTACCTGAGAGACTAAATTCTTACCTACCGCACGTTTGCAACGGGTTCACTGCTATTACTGGGGTTCCTTTATAATAAGTTTATTGATGTCAACACTAGCCACCTATGTACCAAGCTGTTGACTAGGGTCCGTTAGGTTCGGAGCAAGCCCGCTCCGGCCCGGCAAGCAGGCCCTTGGCTGAACGGCTTGCTTCAAACTTCGCCAAACAAAGGACTCACTCATCGCCTTTCACCACTTTCAATTCTTCACAGAATGCTGAGGCGTAAATCGTTTCTTGTAAAGCATATCCCTGGCTGTCCCTTAGCGATTTTTACTGCATATTTCTGCACCCAGGTAATTCCCTATCGTCATGTCAATGTCAGCTTCATACATTTCTCTAAATTTCCTCCAAGGGGAATATATTGTTCAGTACTGTTGCCTGTGCAGTCATAATTTTTTCTATGGTGGTCAGATCTCATGTGGCCAACAGAGAGCTTACACGGGTGGTCATGGCGAGAGTCATGTGACAGGTGATAGTCCAATATCATCGTGCAGCGCAGATTTTGAAGCAGAAACCAATGTTTTATGTATTTAATCTACTTATAAGTATGTCATACTTGCCCCGAATGACTTTGGGCTGGCAGAATACCGCGCAAACAATATTAGAATTGGATGATCCAAATATAGTGTAAATGAGGCTCTTTGTCGTCTTGGCTGTCCAGAAAGTCTGGAAATTGTCAGAAAGGGTTGGTATAGAAGTTATACAGGCTCTCCGTATATATGTATATTTTCTGGGGTTCGTCGTACTCACTGCGTTTAGGCCCGGGGTAGACCAAGTCTGCGCAGCTGATCCGACCCCTGCCGACCCTAGGCGGCAGGGTGCGTGGCCGTGACGTCAACACAGATAAGCCCAGGTTTGCCGCGCTGGGCTGATCCTTTGCCGCCCCCGCGCCAACAAACCTGTCTACCCACCCTCATACACCAAGCGCAACCTATCTCACTATTTCTTGCGACAACATCAGGAATAACCCGTAGAACTGATGGCTGATCTTGATCAATTATGGCTGTCAGAATTATTTTGCACGATCACGGGCTATCACGGGTCGCTGCTGATTGACGAGAAAGGCTCATGAGCTCCTCAGGTGCTTAGAGGTGCAGCACAAGATTGCAGAATATATTTTGTAATAGCTTGACATATACAGTTTAAGCAATCTCCCCGCATCGGGGAAAGCGCAAATTATTGTTCAAAACCGTACACAGAGATTTAAAGGTGTTGGCACGCGCGCAATTATCCTGACTGTTATCCGAGACGCTCGCCGGCGCATGGCAAAACGGCCGGTGTGGGAGGCGGCACGGGTCACAGGGACTATTATCCTCTAGATGTAAGCAGCTCATGAGCTAAATACGAGGATTATGGTCGTCTCATGAGATACCGACTAACCCGCATGATCAATCATCCACTCTTTTGGGCGATTGTGAGCAATTTTCGTTGAAAATTCACCACAAACTTATGGATGACTAAGTCAAGATGGCATTGAGGGAGGAATTGATTGTGGCCTTCAGTAGAATCCAATGTATTCCCTTGAATGCAAGACTAAATTTTGATTCATTTTCTAGGTTCATTTGTCATTATAAACGCTTTGCGGTGGAGATCATGAAAATTTGGTTCAATTTCCAGAGTATTTCAGCGTGTCCCAGTAATATTTCTGAGGCGTTGGAGTAAAACTCTACGTAATATTCAAGGAATCTGTCAGGATTCATTGCAACCAAATAAATGTTCCACTGCCGAAGACCAATGTGAACCGGTGGAAATTTTATTAGAAGAGAACCATTGAGTTCCAGCGGATTCCATCGGATGACACAGTCAATTGATCGAGGTGAAAATATGTGCATCGGTCGGCCATGGCGCGCGCCAGTGATTTCCAGTGGAATTCAGTGGCTCGTCAAAGGAGTCCGCCATCAACCAATGCCGCACGATGCCGATCAGCCGGTTATCAGTGCCGCGTGTATTACTGCCTTCTGACGGAAGCGTGTTTGGCTTGTTTGTTCGCTCCGGCATGTCATCGGCACGTCCGGCATCGCGCGGCTTTGTCAGAATGGGGCTTGTACCGAACCTAGGGGTCCGTTCGGTTTTTTTTGGTCATATCGGTTGTTCCTTGCATTTGGGACCAAGGGGTTGCACCGGAAGCTGAGAGGCTGTGAGAGCGCCTCCGTTCAGTTCGGTATTAAGGCAGCTGGCCGCGACCGTTGCGACGGTTCCACGGCACCCGTCAACCATTTTCCCTGGACAACGGCACGGGTTCGCAGTGCTACGGCCCGCTGAAAAACGGCTGTCACGGTCTTCTCTTCCCTCCAGTCTTGGGAGTCCGCGCCATCCTCGTCACTTAGTTGCTTTGCTTAAGGCTGTGGAAGTTCGTGAGGTTGATGGTATTCCCTGAAAGTTCGTGAGTTCAGCTAGATTTACTATAACTTTGTCACTTCCTCTGCACACCGTGAAAGGTCGTCACTTGACAATAACCACATGACCGTGTTCAGTTGCC